CCCCCCCCCCCCCCCCACACACACTCTCTACCAATCAGGCTCTGGGAACCGTCCGGCGCGTAGTCGCAATAGCCAATCCTCTGGCGGCGACGTGCGTCCTTTCCCGCTCAGCCAATCCGAGCGGAAGGCGCGTCCTGGCGCGCGCACAAGGTATCCAATCAGCGTGCGGTCTTCTCGCCGCAGCGCCCCTCCCCGCCCCACCGCGTTCGAAAGTGGGCCGCCAATCGCCGGGGAGGAGGAGGGAGCCGCGCTTGTTTATCGCTGAACGGTCGCTGAGCAAAGCCGCTCCCGGACGGCTCCCGACAATGCGGGTGGACACCGGATGAGTTCCGAGGACAGCTGGTGAGGCGAGAGTCCGGCAGCACGGCAGCGCTTGGTCGTATCTCAGCGCCGCGAGGCCGCCCGCACCGCGCCGCCCCTTCCTCACAGAGTGGCAGCGCTTCCGGCCAATCAGGGGTGGAGGCGCCGTCAACATCCCGGAACGCGAGGGGCAGTAGCCAATGGCAGCGCGGGGGCGGGGCTTCGGCGTGAGGAGAGGCAGAGTGGTGGCAGGGTGGGGGGTGCTGGGCCGTGAGGGGACGGAGCCGGAGGGACCGCGGCGGGTGAGAGGGGTCGGGGCCTGAGGGGCTGCGGCGGGGGAAGGGGAGGGAATGGAGCAGAGCTGGAGACAGAGGGGCGATTATTGAGTGGCGGGAGGGGATGCGGGACTTTGAGGGGACGGAGAGAGGGGCCGCTGTGAGGGGGAAGCGGGGGTCCCGAGGAGGGCCCGGCTGCAGGCGCTCTGTGTGGGGAGCGGGGCGGGGCCCGGGGCTGTGCCGGCACCCGGAGCCGTACTGATGAGTTAAATCGCTCCCGGCTAACTTAATCCTGCTCCTCCGTGCGGGGGTTTGGCAGAACGAGGGCTTGTGCTGCGCTATGGAAACAGCAGGTGACAGCTGAGCTGCTCTCGGCCCCGTTACAGCTCCGTGTGTGATTCATTGCGGGCAGACTTCTAATGAGGTTACGAAACGAGTTTGTGCCACGGCTAAGGCCCACCCATCTGCTGAGGTAAGGGGCACCGTGATCTCAGCCCGGGCTGTCTGAAGCCCCCCTTGCCTCAGCTGCACGATGACCTTCGTGTCCTCGCACTGCTGGCCCTGGCAGAAAGAAGAAATGAGCTTTTCCCCTTCGCTTCCATTTCTCCCAGGAAGCTCTGCCAAAGGGATGTGTGTATCCGTGATAACTTCCTTCCAGTTCTTGCATTTTAAGCTGTGCTCTGAGGAGTTCAAGTAGCAAGCTGCCAACAGAGCATTTTACTACGGCCTGCTTCGCTTTAGCAGTAGGACAGAGATTAATTGGACAGCTGTCCAGCAGTTTCCTTCTGGTAGAAATGAGTTTTTACACTTTATCAGTGTGAGATGTGAAATAACGAAAGCTTAAATCCGTGAAAGTCAGCAGCGTGTCCTTGTAAGCCCTGTAAAGAATGGCTGTGCTTTGAAGGTATTGGGCTGCTGCAGGGCAACAGGGATTTATTCTCTGTATGACCACAAGCTGCTAGTATGACGTTTCTTAATGCCTCCTTTTGTTCTACCAAACAATAGTAAGGTTTTCCTGCAGTGTTAGAGCATGGGATGGATTCACCAGGGCACAGGAGATGCTGAAGTAAGCACTGTAGAAAAACTGATTAATGTATATATTTCAAGTTCTTTTGTTCTTGATGAACATATTGAAACTAGAAGCATACTTAATGCTGCCATTCCTGTAAACTGCTGCTTTGAGTGCTGCAAGACCAATGCACAATTATTTTTTATATATGTTTTTATGATGTGGGATTTTGGTTTGTGATTAATTGGTAAGAAAAAAAAATCTCAAGCAGTTGTAATGCTTTTTGAATTAATGTTATGCAGTAATAATGAAACAAGCATGATGTGTGTGAGGGGGGAAAAAAATGAAAAATGAGCCTAATATTGAGCACACACCATCTATGCTTGAATTGGGCTGCTGCAGTCTAGCTCAGTAGTTCTGATTCTGTTTTCAGGGGAGGGCACAGAGCCTCTTCCATGGATTTTAATGGATTGAGAACAGACCTTCACTTCTTAATTGTGCTCCACAGAGGTCTCAAAAACTGTCTGTAGAGCCCCAGGTTTGAAACAAACCAACAAGACCCACGCCTGTGCTCTACCTGAGGTGTTTTGGTTCTGATCCCCTCCCCTTTTAGCCCAGTCTTGTGTGGTGGACTTGTGACAATCACAGCAATTACAGTGCAGCGACTGTTAGCAAGTGTAGCTCTGGGCAAGAGAGAGAAGTTCTTCTTGGAATGCTGCATGCCCTGGGGTAGCTTGACTGAAAGAACTGCCTCTGCAATCAAATTCTGTTTCACCAAACTACAAAGTCATTTTAATTTTATTATTTTTTTTTAATAGGAGAGTGATATTTAATTCTTCATGTTTGCAGGGTATACTCATATTTGGATCTGAGATATGGAAAGTCATGACTCGGTGAATGCTGTGCAAGAGATCTCTTCATCTTCTGCAGATTCTGATGTCAAAAATACCCACAGCTCTGTTTGTAACTTGAATTGTAACAGGTAATGATACGATGGAGGAATTCCTAACATATTTTTAATATTTTTGCTTTGTGTAGATGGTATGTTTACTAGCACTGTTACCATGGTGGCACTGCAATATATTTCAGGGTTTTTTTTACAATTGCAGATAAAATGCTTGATGAGAAAAGCCTCATTAAAAGAAGACTTAACTCATCCTTAAAAACTTACTGACTTCTGTTGCTTCATGTCTCCTTGAGTGGAGGAGTGGAGAAACACTCTTGGCCAAGTTAGGAGGGATTATTCTTTGTAAGGACTGTGTAGTACATTAAGTCATTTGTAGAATACAGTGGCTTAGAAAAAGGGAATTGTTTTTCCATTCAGTGCCCAAGATATTTCCACTGAATAAGGAGGGCAAATAC